CTATAGCGAGAAAAATATATCAACTTTAGAACTTTGAAATTCGTTTTTCTCAAATGTGCGAATTTTGTGTTATGTCAGTGTTGCAGCAAACAAACAATGTAATTTTTATTTTCAGTTGTTTATGTTAAATTTTTTGCCAAAAAACATTGAAATTTTACTTAATTAATTCATTAAATTGTATTTTATATAATTGTATTTATAATTTTTTGTAATTGTGTAACCTTTAACTCACTAAAATTTACTGGCATTTTTTTATTTGCCAGGAGTACACTCCGTTTAGGTTTACTATATCTGCCCTTAACTTTAATAATAATGCATGTATAATTAATTTTATTTCTATAGTATAACAAAAAAAAAATATATTAATTGATAAATTTCTCACACTGTTTATCGGCTAACCTTTTTTTCTTGTTTTGATATAAGCTTAGTAGTTGTAAATTGGCAACGTAAATGAGTAAAACACGGTAAAATATTGTTCACAATAGTTCAATTAAATTTTCAATGTAGATATGTACATATACCTACCTACCTACACGCGCTAGACTTAATTCATAAATTTATTTCAAAATTCTAAAATTTGGTTTTTTTAATTAAAAATAAAAAATAAAAACATCATTTAAAAATAAGTGTAAATAAATTTTTGAAAGATGACAAAATTGTTAAATTAAAAATATTTTGAATTTTGGAAAATTAATTTTAAAGTTTAAAAAAAAGTGTATAAATAAAAATCTGCTGTGCAAACTATGTGTGTGTGTAGTGTACACAATGTTTTCTAAATGACTGTGTATGCGTAATTATTTAGAATTTGAGAAAAAATTTAAAATATTTTGTCAAACACTCTATTTGTTTACATAAATAATGTGTTTAATCAAAATATTTGTTCAAAATTTGATCTGCCATAAATTTTTTATAAACTTTATAAAAAAGTTGAAATAATTTTTGCAGTTTATTATGGTGAGTTTCGGAAAGTGAGTCAAAAGTTGAAAAAAAAAAATAGTTTGCATGAGATTTTGTTTCTCGCTTACTTATTAAAATATTTCCTTTTGTCAATGTTTGTTGTTACTAATCAGAAATATTATTATTATATATTGTTATAAAATTCCAGTACTACTCCTATTGCAATTGGGGCGTACATACATTAAACATATTTTTAATAAAATATTAAAATTTAATTTACAATATTATTGAAAAAATGAGTTCTCAAAATGAAAATATATATAATATTAAGTTTTTGCAAAACATATATATATTTCTACCATTTTTAGCGACATCTATTAATTTATAATTGAAATATTTATATTTTTGATTTCATACTCAACTGTTTTTGTTTGAACAGGGAGATATCAAGCCTGGATTATCAAGTCGTTTGGGCAGTTGATATTTCATGTTCTGTGCAAGTGTCTCCGCTTGATACAGAAGAGGGGAAAACATTTGGGGCGATTTCAATTTAAAAAATTAGAAGACCTTTGATTCATGAAAATTGTTAGTTGGTTTTACTGGTTGTATCGCGTAATGTGTTGCGTAGGGTTGCCATTGAGCATTTTTATGACTTAGAGCTGAAAGCTCGCAAGAGGCGATGCATCTCTCAAAATCATTACTTTCGCCTTGCTTGAAAATCCATGATTTTAATAATATGAATTACCATCACATTTCACACATTTAATCTCGTAGCATTGATTGACCAAACGATATGTTATACTTTTATGTGTATAACGTACCTACGTATACATACTTAATAAATAATGAACTACATATCAATCAGTTGTCAGTGTCAATCTCATTAAATCTGTTAAAACAATTATATGTATCGCTTACTTTTTAAACTTAAGAGTTAAATAAAAGTTATGAAGTTTTTTATAATTATTAATATTGTTTTAAGCTATAAATATAAAAAAAAAAAACATTGTTTGCGTAAAGAAATCCATTTATTCTTGACAATCAATTGGCAATAATCGATGAATATTCAAAGATTTGCATTTAAAATGTACACATACACATGCATAATAATTTTGTATTTATTTTCCTTTTGTTTAATTTCTAAAATATTTAAATTAAACATTTTGATATTGTCATTCTCTACATAATTTTATACACAGCCATACATAATGTACAAATCACAAATTTTGTTTAAAATTTCAAAAAAAAAAGCAAAAATAATAAAATGAAAAATATTTGCTCTCAATTTAAAATTGAATGAACGGTATCCAATTGCAAACATTATAAATTTTCACGCAAATTAAAGTCAAAGTCAAAGACGACGAAAAATAATGTTAAAAAAAATATCATATATTTTAACCGTTAATAAAATATACTTAATAATAAAAAATAAAATAGTAATATAAGATTAAAGAAAAAAAAATTTTTTTAAGCAACTCATTTACTGTCTCAAACCAGTGAACATAATCACACTTTTAAATGTAGCACACACATAACATTAAACATACCATACCAACCACAAAAAAAAAATCATTACCAATATTATACACGCGCGCATTAACTGTACTCTACACTACTTACGATCTCTTAAAAGTGTGCTTAATTTAAAACTCAAATAAGCATCAAGCTGAAATTTTCATTTTAATTATTTCAATTAATGGCAAATACTAACATATTGACGGAGGAACCCTTTTAAGAGCTGAAATAAAGATTTTTGAAATCATTAACCAACACAACACTTTATTTATGCACATAGGCATGCACACATATGTAAAAATTTTGTATTTGTTCACACTTTTATAATTTTTGCTATTTTTCGAAATTATTAAGTCCAACTTTTTCCATATTACAAATATTTGGTTTTCGTTTATTGTTTTTCTTTTAAAAACTTTACCTTTTCGTGAACTTGAATTTGAAATTCCGATACACACATACATACATTATCATATATAGGTATTTATATTTAATGGTAAATATGAAACCAATAACGGTAATCATTTTTAAAAGGGCATTCTTTAATATTAATGGTATTAATGTGAAAATTTATGTTATACACATTAATTTATACAAATTCGAATTATAATGTAGAAAATTTTTCACATTTTACTATATTCTCATTATCTCATATACCTGCTGATAACTGTTGATTTTTTCTTGTACGAGCTGTGAACAAAAAGAAATTGTGTTTTTTTTTAATATTGTTGATTGAATTGAGATTTTGTTTAATTATTTGTACATGAAAATTACAATGATTCTGTATTAAATTATTCTTTTAGAATTTATAAAAAAATTACTTGACAATCAACTTACAATATACATAGTAATATTGCAATAATTCATTGAGAATACTGTTCGTTTTTTAAATAATTTGAATAGTTGACAAGAATCTGTACCCGCTTTCATTTGAATTGCAGTAATGCATAATTCGTGATTTCCAAAATGAAGTAAATTGTGTTGCTACATAATTCAGCAATAATGACTTACAAACATAATTGTATGTTAACATTCATTCCTATATAACTAAAATTTTGAAATCTGAAAATTTCTGCAAAATTCAGCAATTAATTAATTGAATTAGGTATACAGTTATTGCAGCATTACTGTAATTCTGATGACAGTATTATCAATTTACAAATTACGATGCTAACGTAAATTTAATTTTTTAAATTTTTAACATATTTGTGTCTAAGATAGTGTAAATTTAATAATAAAATACCAATATATATGTACATACCTACATATTTATAAAATGTATTCATAAAAAGAAAGTTTAACGGCTCAATCAAAAAACTTTAAAATGTTTATTTAATTATGATGCGATGCGGCTCATCTCTTGTTTTTTTTTCGTCAAAGAAAAATAAATGAACAAATAAATGAATGAAATTAAGAAAAAATTAAGAAAAAAAAAATGAAGATCTAGTGAAATGATGGAAATTTAAAATGATATTGTTATATTTATTTACATTAATAGTACATACATACATACGTACATATCTGCCTTTATAAACACGTCTTAGAGATGAATAAAAATTATGTGATTACATTGAAATTTCGTTATTGTTTATACTTTTCTCTCTAAAATTCATTTTGGAATTTCTGGAATTCAAAGCAAGAAAAAAAAACCAAAAACCAAAAAAAAAATTGGAATATTTATAAATGAATCATTTTGTAAAAAAAATAAAATTAATTTTTTTTTATTAACATAATTTTGGAATAAAATAATAATATTTTTTATTAAAATAATATAAAAATCTCTTAAATATTTGAATATAATTAATTATTAGAAAGTTAAAATGTGCACAAATGTAAATGAGTTTCTCTTTTATTTCAACATTATAATTTTTGCACCGCACGGTGACAATACAAAATTTTTGTATATGCAATGGGAAAGAATGAAAAAGGCAATTCCAATGATTTTAAAAAATTAATATTATTTAGCAAAAATTGAATTATAATATTGGATTGTGATATTCAAAAATTTAAAATTAAATATTTGTATTAAATAATGAATATATTTAAATACAAAAACATTACGTTTAATTTCTTCAAAAATAACAAAAAATTTGACATTCACTGAAATTTGACATTCACTGAAATTTGACATTCACTGAAATTTGTCAGTGTTAATGTACAGCTCATATAATGAGAAGAGACGAATATGACAAAAAAAATATATGTAATTACTAATTGTATTTTAATTTTATATCTAATATCTAATTTGCTAAATAATAATTTTTGAATACATTGAATAAATGTCGTATCATATGCGAATTTAATTAATTTTAATTGAACAAATTCGTATGGTGCGACATCTATTGAATTTCTGTGTGATGCGCGTATTGTAATTATGAATGATTATGTTTAAATCTGGTATTTATTTAAATATTAAATTTCTACAAATTTCTTATTATTATTACTGCAAAAAAAAAAAACTTGTTAAAAGGATATTTTTCAGATCAATCGAATCATTGTAAATGTACACAAATTTTAATTCACTAATATGTAATTTAAAAAGTGATTCATATAATTTTTAAAATTAATCTATACTATATTTTTTTTTTCAGACTAATCTTCATGATTTACGTCCAAGATCAACTGAAGGTGGTATAGATTCAGGTGTTTCAATGTCAAGTGATAGTGGATGTACTGATAATGATTTTGGTGAACAAAATAAACAAGTGAGTTTTTGCTTCAAATTATATTATTGAATTAGAATTGATTTGTTTCACAATACCGTAAACGATAAATCTAAAAATGTAAAATGTTCATTGTTAATAAAACTGAAATATTATAGATGAACATTATCATAATTATGAAGTCAATGTAAATTGTATAACACCTCTATTGGCAGTATAGGTACAAACATCCCTGTTGTGTACCTATACTCCCAATATAAGTGTTTTAACTCAAAAAATATGATTTTTCAGGTTACAACGGAATTTTAAACTTAAAATATTTATTTATTATTATCTAGTACAGGATTACAATAATTTTTGTATTTCATTAAACTTTTAAGGTTAAAAAGTTATTAACCAAGATTTATAATGCTCATTTTCAATTAATTTATAATTCAACACAAAAATCTTAATTCGTATTAATCAAAAAAAAGTATTTCAATAATAAAATAAACTATTTATGAAAGTATTTCGAATCCAAATTCATTAATAATTCATAAATACAAGTTAAATTATATAAAAAAAAAATAAAACTACTTAAGTATATTATTATTAAATTTAACCTGTAACTTGACGTAAATCTGAACTTACTGATTATTTTTGTTTTTATTATTTTTTAAGATTAACGTCATAATACACAAAAAAAAAAAATGTCCGCTAGCATCTATATATAAAGTTTCTTGATAATGAATATGATTTTATCAAACAATTAATTTAATTACTTGTATAATTGTAAATTATATTAACATATACATACAAACACACATAATATAAATAGACAATATGGAAAATAGTTTAATAGAAAATTGTATAAAACTTAAGCATATTAACGTGCATTTCAATTAAATTTCTCTTCTCAGTAAAAAATAAAAAAAAAAAAAACTAATAAAATGACTTGTAAAATTCTCATTCCCTTAGAGATTAAAATCACTGATTTTCTCTTATATGCACATTAAGAAAATCTACAATAGAAAAAAAAAAACTGACATACACATCGACATTATAATTAAAATTAAAGTTATAACAGTATATAAATTTAGCATTTTATGAGAAAATCAGAATATACAAATTATAGAGTATAAAAAACACGATTGAAAATTATATTTTTTACATTATTAATATTGTATTCGTTATCAAGTTCAAGGACCATTTTCACTAACATGCGCCTATATACACTTGTTGAATTTTTTTATTCACATATTAATTCATAAATAAATGTTATATTACATACGTTTTATAGTACGAGTATAATCACAATTCACAATGAGCTTTTTATTATTTAAGTGTTATACAACATAATATATCTAGATGTATAATGTATATTACCTTTTGTATTACAGTGGTTTTTCATTGAACTTTTGTAATACATTACGAGTATTATAGAAATATATAGATATGCATATATTTATAATAATAATAAATTAAAACGGATTTGTATTAGTTTTTGCAAAAAAAAAAATTTATTTTGAAATTTTTATATTCTGTTATATTTGAATATATTTATTAAAATATGATGATATAATTTAGGTACTAGATGCATTATGATATTAAACAGAAATATGCAAAGGTTGTACTGTTAATAAATATTATTCAAAGTGTTATATCAAATAATATAACATTTTAAAGGTATATAATTTAGGAATATTCGTCAGAATTTTATTAGCAATATTGAAAATTTGAGGTTTTTAAAATTTAAAATCCGAAAGTTTTAATTTCTTAATGTTTCACTCATTTTTTACTTCTTTTACTAACAGTGAGAGAAGAAGCGAAAGCGTGAGTATCATGTATTCGTATAACATAATATTTAAGTGAGAAGAATTATTGTTTTTGGTATTATTTGTCATGTTTTTTTTTTTGGACAATTAGAGTAATTGTATTAAAAAATTAGTGAGTACGATAAAATTGACATTATTTTAAAAGGTTGAATAAGTTTAAACGAAATTCAAAAATTTCTTTATGGTTTATTATAAGAAAATGTGAGATGTCCAAATGTAGGATTTTAATAGCATTTTAAAATTATTACTCAATGCAGTTACAAGCGTATTGCATATATAAACGGAATAAACAAAATCTGTTATATAACCTAAAAATTACTGACACGACCAAAAAATGTTACTCAAAATTTTTAGTGTTTTTAATTTCCACCTTAAATTTAACTAAAATTTTTCTTATTAATCTATAAAAAATCTATAATTAAAATCATTAATTAAATGTTCTATAAAAAAATTTTTTAAATTTTTCTTGTTTATTAGAGTTTAAAACTTCTATTTTAACTTTATTCTTATACGTTACACGTTAACAGTAATTAGAACAAGAACGCTCATTTTGTATGTATTTAGATCGTATACAATTTTAATTACAACTACCTACCACCCAAAATATTTACATACTTGTTATATACATATATGTGCATATAAATATTTCCGTTCAAAAACATTATTCTATTTAACAATTTTTCTAATTTTTTTTTTTTCTTAAATTTCAGGATCTGGAATCAAGAAGATTGAAAAGAGGTCATGTGCTTCATGAACTGTTAGAAACTGAAAGAATTTATGTTACCGAAATGAATTCTATATTAAAGGTGAGGCTATTCTAAATATTCTTTTTTTTTATTTTGTTTAAAAAGTAAAAAATTCTTTTCTATTCTAAATTTACTTCGTTCAAATAACCAGAAGTTTTGTTTCTACAATTTTCATTTTGATATTTTTTTTGTTTTGTTTTGAGAAGGGGAAAACAATTTTTTTGCTTTATTATTCATAATTATAATCAATTATAAGAGTGTGTATAGTATTTAGTATAGCTAAACAATAGAAGAAAATATAAGAGAAAAGAAAGTATTTTAATCGTTCTCGCCGACTATAAAGATAATTGGTAATATCGAATGCATTGTACATTAAAAAATTGGTATGAATGAAAGATCACTATGTGAAATAATGTAAGTAGTAGAGTCTTTAATGGAACAACCTGCTCATAATTAAGTATTATTCAAGACCACTTCACAAACAAAAATTTACTTCTAGCTGTTTGGGCTTCACTTATGTTTGTATAGATAGTACTACGCAATGTGTATAACACTTTTGTGTTATCCTCACTCCTCTGTTATACACATAGTTTATATTATTTATCTCATTCAAAAAGCCTAATATAAGAGAATATGATACTTTACCAGAACATCAATAATCTGAAAATTGTTGTCTGTCACGTTTACGTTAATCACTCTCATTGGTCGTAATAACAGTTATAATATGCAAATAAAGCAACTTATGTCAGCTAGGGTTTTATAATGCATAAATAAAAATCTCATCTTTCTTACCTATTTTTCGTTTTTAAATGCAATAAAGGCAAGAAAAAACAGAGACAATCAATTACGTTAACAACAAAAATTGGAATTCATAACGCTAGCGTCAAAAAGTGATTTCCAATACTGATATCTGTAAATTATGTGCAAATAACGTCCTAGAAAAGTACTTAGTTGAGCAAACCAGCAATTCGTTTTTCTGTATAACAAATATGTAAATGTCAAATCTTTAAATATTGTAAACAAGCCGTTAATTTTAATTTCATTTTCATTTAACTTAGATAATTATCTGCCTGCAATTTAATACTCGTACACGCTATATTTATAAATTTTGCATATTACATGAAATTTTATTATAAATCATCAATTTTCCTCATTATGTGCGATATTAAAATATTATAGATCACGATGATGAATAAAACAAAAATATAGCTATTTAAAAATTTAATAATTAAATTATCGGAATGTTGAATGCAAACATTAACAAAAATTTTTTTATATATATAATAATAACGGGACTTTAATGTTAATTTTTACACTAATATTATAATAAAATAGCATGTGTTCCAACAAGAAATGCATATACATAATATATGTACATTTTCTTTTCCAATTCAATGAATTATATTTTGAAAGTTTATTTAATAAATTTCAATATTCGTTTATAATAATCATATTTGAAGTTAGAAGTTGGTTAGTTAATGCTGGATATGGTCGATTCAGAGCAGATCGTCATCGAATGCTCAATTCTTTTGAGTCAGTCGGTTCATTCGAAGAATCTATGGTTCTGATCCCGATATTTGTCCAGACTCTTTCCGTTTTCCCGACCCCATGACTCCTTTTAGAGTCGGACATTCGCAAAAATGGTGAAACTCTTCACTATCTCTGTCGGGCGACATGATAAACTGAAAGTTAACCTTAGTTGAAATTTTTAATTTAATATAATTTTATAATTCAGTTAATTTAATATTAAATTCCTCATATAATCTCGTAGTATTGTAAGGAATCCAACTCCGAATAATTATTACCAAAAACATAAAAAATAATTTTTACATTTTCTATTATTATAATAATTATATTTATAAGTAAAAGTCTTCTTCATATACTCTTAAATAAATTAAATATTAAAAGAAAAATTTACAAGTATATTTTTTTCTATTTTATTTTTAAATATTTCATGCATTATGTTCATGCTTTTTAGACCAAAGACTATAATGGGTATTTAATTATTAGAGCATTGAATAATATTAGTAAAATAATTATTTCGTCTATACATATATATATCTATATCTTTAATCACCAATAGAAAACTAAACACTATCATGCTGTAATAGAAAATATTTTTTTTTTTTCGAAACGAAATTACAATTACATTTCATTTAGTTTTGAGATTTTAAAGTGTTAATATGCTTATATAGCTATTAAATATAAAATATGTATTAAAAAAAAAAATATTAGAAATAAAAATGAAATTCGGAAATTATAATTTACAAAAAAATCATACCCTTAATAATGCCAATAATATAACATCAAAGGATTCATTTAAAGATCCTCTTCTATTACATTTAAAACGTATACAAATGACAGCAAATTGTTTTGTTGAAAATTTAAGTGTTAAATTAAAAAATTTAAATAATTTACAAAATATTGTATTAAATAGAAATTGTGATTCACCAATATCATATCAAGAATCATTATTCGATGATTCAATAACAATTAATGAACATTCATCAAAATTACAATTATTTGTACCAGAAGATTTTCCATCATCGGTAGCAACAAAAAAAAATTATTTAAAAAAAGATTTTTATATTGGAAATGGAAAATTTTCAAATTTTTCAAATTATTTACATTTTAATAATAATAATAATAATAATGATAATACCGAAAATTTATCATATTATAATATTAATAATAATTATAATAAAAATAATGAAAATATTAAAAATTATAAAAATGATTTTGAATATTCTGATAGTAGTGAAAATAATGAAAAAGAATTATTATCTTCATCTATATCTTCATTATCATCATTATCATCATCTAATTATCATTATTGGAATGAAATTAATGAATATGAAAATGTTAAAAATTATTTAGAAAAAAATTCATTTAATCGTATTAAAAATGATTCACATTTTAAAAATTATTTAAATAAAAAAGGTTATTATGATATATTAGATTATTTAGAACAAAATTCATCATCAAATGGTCCAACATCATTAGAAGAATCATTAAATACTAATATTAATAACAATAATAATTATGATAATAATAAAAATACCAATAATAATTTAAATAGTAATAATAATTATAATGATAATAAAGAAAATTTTAATGAAATATTTCAACAATATAAATTTTTAAATAATAAATTAATTCGAAATAAATTAAAAAATTCTTTAAATAATACAAAAATTACATTACCAATTTTTGATAATAATAAAATAATTAATAATAATTATAATAATAAAAATTTAAATAAAAAACAAATATTATTAAATAGAAAATATTTAAAAAAATTTTTAATATGTGGTTTATATACAAAAAAATTATTAAAAAAAATATGTAAAAAAAGTTTTTTTTTCAAAAATAAAAAATTAAGACCGTATACAAAGAAAAATTATCGTAATTTAATGAGAAAATTTGTTAATTCAAAAGGTTTTAATACAATTGAAGAATATAAAATGGCAAAATTTGGTGTTATATTTATGAATGAAAATTATAATAATTATAATAATTGTATAAATTGTAAAAATTCAATGGAAAAGAAAGAGAGAAGAAGAGTACAAGCAACATGTGATAGTACTACACCTCAATTTTACGATTATGATGCAAATTTTTCCCTTGTAAATTATTTTTTTTTTTACAAATTATGCTTTTGTATTTTTATATTAAGGAATTATTAAAGTTGTATGATAAAAAAATTTGAAATATTGTTCAATTATGGGAAATGACTTCAATATTCTAATGTCAAAATATTGTCAATTTTGAAAAGAACTCTGACTCCTTAAAAATATGCCTATTTTTATTTTGATTTGCTCTTATTTTGTTTTTTCTTGGAGTGAATTTTATTTTGTAAAATTTTTATCGCACTTCATATTATTGGTTAGAGCATTGTCAATCTGAAGATCATGTCAATTACGTCAATTAATGTAATTTTCGAATATCAGTTATATGCAAATAAAAAAAACTCTTGTCATTTTTTTTTAAACATAAAAGATTTATAAGAAAAAATCTCTTTTTTCTTATATGTTTTCCTTTTCTACATTAAAATCAGTCATTTTAAATAATTTGTTTTAATAAAAGCAATAACGCACGAATCAATGCAAAGAAAAAAACACAAATTAAAGCGAGTGATTGTAATTTTTTGATTTTCGATCGCGTTATTAACAAAAAAACTGAAATTCATGACGCTAGCGTCAAAAAAATATTGTTATTCATGACATTTGCAAATTATAATTATGCCAATTCCATCTTAAAAATTTTTAAGACTGGTAGCAAAAAAGGATTTTTTAATTTTTTTCATTTATCAGCCCTTTCCATTAATTTTAATATATATAAGTGATATTAACAGGGTTTAAAAATTCCAAAATTTGAATACGTATAAAAGTTAATGAACTTAATCTATTTTTTATTCAAATTATATTTTTAATATTTGTTACTTTTCTAAATGTAAAGAAATAAATAACATATTAATTTTATTTTTCATAAATATTTTTTTTACAGGGCTATCGAGATCAAATGGAATCAGAAGAAATGGTACATTTAGTTCCACCTGGTTTACAGGGTAAAGAAGATATTCTATTTGGAAATTTACATGAATTGTACACATTTCATAGTGAAACATTTTTAAAAGACTTAGAAAATTGTATTTCAACAACAGAATTGGTGGCATTATGTTTTGTACAAAGGGTAATAAATTTAATTCTTTTATTATTAATTAAATATATATGTAAATATTTTTGAGATTAACAATTTGAATTGATTCAAATAGGTTTTTTAATCAATTTGAATCAGTATGGAATCATAAAATCTGGTTCAATATTGGTATATACCAGCAAAAAATAGTCGGAATTATTATATTGATACTAACCAAATATTATTAGTTTTAGTACTATAATTTATTGTTTACCTTATAATAATTTTGAATTTATTTTCATTTTATTTTCTTTGCAGAGAGATACATTCTATAGATTATATTCGTTTTATTGTCAAAATATACCAAGATCAGAAAGATTACGTGAAACATTAGTTGATACACATTTATTTTTACATGAATGTCAAAAAAAATTAGGGCACAAATTACCTTTAGGTGCTTATTTACTTAAGCCAGTCCAAAGGATAACAAAATATCAGCTATTATTAAAAGATTTATTAAGATTTAGTGATAGTGGTACATGCACAAAAGAATTACAAAAAGCTTTAGATTGTATGTTAATTGTATTAAAATGTGTTAATGATTCAATGCATCAAATAGCAATAACTGGATATCCTGTAAGTAGTCTTTCATTTTTATTACCCAAAAGTCTTACAATAAATTTTAATTAATTTTTTTTTTTCTTTATCTTTTTTATGATAAAGCATGATCTATCACAACAAGGTGAATTATTATTACAGGATTCATTTCAAGTATGGACTGAAAATAAAAAAGATCTCCGTTTAAGATTAAAACCGCAACAAAGGCATATTTTCCTTTATCAGAAATCAATGTTATTTTGTAAACAAGCAGCAAAACCAACTACAACTGGTCACAATAAAAGTACCTACCAATATAAAAATGATTTAAAGGTAAAATTAAAAATTAAATAAAAAAAAAAATTTAGAAGAATTTCAAAAATAAATTTTAAAAAATATTAATAATTTTTTCTTTTATTTTTTTTTTTAGATGTCACAAATTGGTTTAACCGAATCAGTACGTGGTGATACAAAACGTTTTGAAGTATGGTTACAAGGTAGACAAGAAGTTTATACATTACAAGCACCAACAATTGATATTAAAAATAAATGGGTTACTGAAATAAAACGTGTATTATTAAATCAATTAGAAGAATTAAAAGGTGAAAAAATTAAACAATATGGTTTAAATCCACGTACAGTACGCCCATCAACAAATCCATGGGATACACCAATAACTGTATTAGCACCACCATTACGTAGTTTAAGTTGTGATACATCTGGTTCAGAATCAAATCGTAATTCAAATTATAGTGATGATTTACAACCAGGTATTAGTTCATCATCATCAGAACAACAAGATCCATCATGTGGCTGGAGTTCAGATTATTCAAATAGTGAAGATGAATTATCAAATGTTGATGATAATTCAACACCTGTAAGTTAATTAAGTATTGTAAAATCATTCAACTATTTTAGTTTTTTTTTTTATTTTTAATTTTTAAATTTTAAATTTTGTTTTTTAAGTTTTCACTTTTTTCATTATTTTTTGGGGTATCATTTTTGTTTTCATTTTTGTTTTCATTTTTTTTTTTTCATTTTTAAAATTATTTACTTAGAATTTATGTTTTGTTTTTTTCATTTTTCATTGCAAATTGTTTTATTTTTTTATGTTCCCATTTTTTTAATAATAATTTTTAATAAATAAATTTTAATTAAATAAATTTATAAGTTCATATTTCATAATTCATTAATTTCATTTTTTCATTTTTTTTTTTATTTCTCAAATTTTTTCTCTATTAAAATTCTGTATTTTGTTTTTTTTTTTTTTTTTTCCAAAATTTTTGATTGAAATGCAAAACAAAACCAAAAAAATGCACAAACCAATTAAAAAATGAATTTTTTTTTTTGTTAAAACAAACAAAAAAATTTGATTTGCTACAAAAAAAATAAAGAGGATATTTAATTATATTGCACAATGGGCTGGTGATTACAATAATTCACGTGTAACTAAACCTAGTTCTACTTTTTATGTTTCTGTCGAATAAGTAGAAATAAAAAAAAAAATTATCATTTAAAAGTTGTTCAAATAAAAATCGAAAATGGTTTTGTTTTTTTTTTTTTTTTTCTAATATAAAAAATAATATTTTACAAACAATCGTACATAAAAAAAAAAAATCATTTAATTACAATGGAAGTTTTTTACGATTTTAAATTTATAAAAAAAAAAAAAAAAACAAACGCTTTTACACCAAAATAATTAAATTAAAATTTAAAAAAAGAAAATACAAAAAAGTAGTAGAAGGTTAAAAAAATAAACTCATCAAATTCTGGGGGGCATTCTGATTTCATTCTTGGATAAAAAAAAAATTTTATTTATGTAAGTTTTTTTTAAAGATTTTTTAATTTGCTTTTTCTTTCTATTTTCTGTTTCTATTCTTTATTTTTCGTTTTTTTATAAATTTATTAATTTTTTCACTGGTTTTTTAATTATTTAAGGCTTATTAAATAAAACTGCTTTTTAAAAGATGTTTAAATAAATTTCTTGAGCATTTTCTATAAGAGAAATTAAAAATTTGAAAAAAATATTTAATAAAATTTATAAAATATTAATTTTTTTTTTTGTTAAATCAAAATTTATAAGAAGAATTATATTATAAAAAAAAAAATTCTTAAAAATAATATTAAAAATTAATGAATGACATAGCCATACAAATCAAGGCGAAACAGTGACTTACGGATTCACCGTTTTTTATGTGGACGCCTCTATATACCAGCGGAGCTACAGATATATGAAGAAATTATCGGCAAAATTGTTCTTCATGTTGCTTTCTACATGTTTTTTTTGGTTTAAAAGTCAATTCAGCCTATAGTTTTAATTTTTGTAAAATATAGCTCATAATTACTAAGTCAAATATTTTGTACAATTAATGGAAATAGTCAATATAATTTTAAAATTTTTTAATTTTATTTGAATGCTCAAAGCTCAAATATTTTGTTTTTTCACGAGAAATTTTTGAATTTATACTGATTTAGCCGGCAGAATAAGTAGAATTCTTTCTTGAACATTTAAAAAAAAAACAATTAGAAAATTGTTGGTATTTATTTTATACGCTATTTTTAATTAAAAATACTCAAAATAATTGCAGTCCGGTCTCTTAATTTAATCTTAATCAGTGAAAAAATTAATAAATATATTAAAAAATAAAATTTAGTTTCTTCTTTGTATTTTGTTATTTTTGTTATTAGGTTATTTAAGTATTTTTTTTTTTTTTTTTTGGTTTTCCTTGCTTAGAAGTAATTTTTTTTTGGAAGGCTATTTGTAGCACATTTGAAAGCGGTGTTAAAAAATATTTTATTTAAAATAGTGTTATTTTTTTTTTTCTTTTGTTTAGCCTTTTGTTTTTATTTTTGTTCTTTTAAGTTTTAAATATATTTGTTTTTTTTTTTTTGTTTAGAATTCAATAAAAAACTAACAATTTAAAAAAATAAATACATTTATCATGCATTCATATGTTTTTAAATAATTAAATTGTGAAAAGATACTAGAAAATAAATAAAAAAATTAGGAGCTTTTGTGGCAATCAAAAAAATTTTTATCATACAAAAAAAAGAAACTAAACAGAAATCTGTTATTGTTGTTGTTCTTCTTATGTACATGTTATTTAATTGGATTTTTAAATCCCTATATTTGTTTTGTTTCTAACACTGTCCTGGTTAGTATAAGGTTACCGTGTAAATAGACCAATTCTCATTTTCGTTTTCAGATATACTTGTTTTCGAGTTACAGCCTGTTGAAAAAAATCACTCCCAGATTTTTGTTTCATATATATATAAATAAATTCGAATACCTTCGGAGTCGTGTAGTCGTGCAACATAGATTAACACTTGTTTTAAAGATAAATGAATCTTTATTTTTGTTTTTACAATCAATAATATCAGACCTTTAATTTTTAAAAAAAATCTATCCAAAGTGATAATTTCGAATTTTTTTTAAAAAAACACGAAATTTTTCCGAAATTTCTCGGAATTATTATTTTTTTTCTTTTTTGTGATGAAAAAACATGAGAAGTAAAAATTCTCAATAGAATATTTTCTTCTGGCTATCATAGTATTGTAAATATTAATAAAATATAATTTCAATCAAAAATGAATTGAGAAAAAGAAATACGAATTACAACGAAGTTGACCCGAATGAAGTTAATTATTTAATACGGTCGGTAGCATCTTGTACTAACTTACCAGGGTAGTGTTTTTAATAAAATTTAATTTAAATGTTTATTATATTATATACTATACTAAATATTATTATATAAAATGATTTGAAATATTTTCATTTTAGAGAAAATTGAAAAAATAAACTAAACATTATCCAAAACTTCAATCAAACAATTTTTTATTCAAATCATTGAATTATTTCTTCAATCAAATTAAAACTTCGGAGACATAAAATGAAGAAATTTCAACTGTACAAATTATAAATGTTAATTAAATATTATAACTTCATTTTTTCAATATCTAATAATAAAAATAATCATCTTTATATACAACAACGTCATTTATTGGCAAATAAATAAAATTTATTGGCTTCGAAGTGGGGGTAAAGATTTATAGTAATAATAGATTAAATAAATATACATATATAATTAAAAAATTTCCTACAAAATGTATAATTCATAAGTTAATTTTAATTTAGTAAAAAATTATTTTTTCAAAATTCAATATTAAATGTCTACATATATGTATAATAAAAAATATTTAATCATTCATTTCATCATATACAAACAAACAATTAATATATTGCTTCAAAAATAAATTGCTTTACGCTTATTAAATGAAAAAAAAAAATTACTAACATTATTGCATTTAATATAAATAATAGATATTTGTAATTTTATATTTAATTAAAAATAATTAAAATACATTTACATAAGTACATAATTTACTTACATACATATACATAAATTATGTGTATAAACAAAAAAAATGAAATTATTGTTCTCGAAATCTTCTTAGGAAGATTTCTAATTTCATATTTAAGTACATACATATATAAATCGAAAATTACATTAATACAAGTATATTCGAACCCAAAATTTTAGATTTTGAGAAAATTTAACAAGTAGTTTGTATTGAAACGAATTTCGTATATATAATATTAAAAAATTAATGTGTTTTTTTATGTAATAGGAAAAAAAAAATTGTTAATTATTATGAGCCTGTAAAAAAAAAAAAAATTAAAAATGACTAAATAATTAAGAGTTTTAATATTATTTGAATTTTTCAAATCAAATTGAATTGTATATAAATTAGTGAATTCCAAAAATTAATTTTTATTAAAGCTCATTTGTATTTAAGAATTGAAGTTGAATTATCGACTGTCTGCCATCTTTCTTTTTATCATTCACACTTTTGTAAAAATATCATTCATTTTTTTCGTCATCATTAAAAAATTAACTGTCAAAAATAATTGCCTTTATGTATATGGCAAAAAAAATCATAATAAAAAAAAAATGAATAACACAGCTGTTTGCCATTCACCTATTGTCATTTTTCTGTGGTGTAAAGTACCGTTACATCCATTTTGCAAATAAAACATAAATGTAGAAAAGTCACATGATCCAAAATGCTAAACAAAAATTTTTGATTCAAGTTGTAAAATTCTCGTTAGTTATTTTGTAGATGCAAAAAAAATATTTTTATCGCAAATAAAATTTTTGTATTTGCATTAGTTTGCATCACCTTTAACTGTCAAAGTGTCAAAAGGCTTGACAATTTTATTCAAATCAACCAATAAGTTTGGCCATTGATGACGTCTAATAAAAGTTCAAAATTATGATCTAAAAGGAAAAAAATTGCTTGTAAGGGCTTTATTTGTGAAAACTATAGCATTACGTTTGTAAAAATGAATATCACGGGTAGTTATTGTCTTTCACCCAATTTTTCTTTTCATTCACTTTTTTGTGACAATTATGACAATGCCCTATATAAATAATTTCAAATTTCCAATGCCATTTTATCAACCATTTTCCCTATATTACAAATATTTTTTTTTAAAATTGTATTTCGAATCAAATTATTATTACGATCAATTCAATTTCAATTTGAAAAAAAAAAATTAATTTTAAATATAAATTAAAAAATCTCTTAATTATTTGGTCAGCAAAATAAAAAAAAAAAAAAGAAATTGCTTTCAACGTTAATATTGTGAGAAAATTTTAATAAAAAAAAAATATTTTGTATACGCTAGATAGACTTAATGTGTTTATAATGTTCGTAAATTCATTTCCTATTTTGTTTTTTTTTTTATATATATATATATATTTATTTTTATATTTTTATTTTATTTCAATATTAATTATTTTTTTTTTTTAAATAAATAAATTTAACAGGGTACTAAATATACAGCATTAGCTGATTATTGTGCTATTGGACATTCTGAGGTTTCAATGAGAGAAGGTGATTCAGTTGAACTATTAAAAGTTGGTTGCGCTGGATGGTGGTTTGTTAAAGTTTTAGGTAATTATTACAATATTAACATTTTATCAACTCTTAAGTTGTTAATGGATAAAATTTAAAATTTAATTTTTTTTTTTTAGGTACCAACGCTGAAGGTTGGACACCAGCCGCATATTTAGAACCTATTCATAGAAAATCATCACGTTGCTCCAGTCGTGTTGAATAAAACGAAATTTATATATCAGAACTTTATATGTTCTATAAATTTGCAAAAAATCTTTCATAACGATTTCTTCATTTTTTTCCTAATTAATTAAATATTTTTTTTTTTTTTTGAATTTGATGAATAATATTGTAAAGAAAAGAAATTTTCATTTTGTTTTTATAATTTAAAGAAAATTTTTAATGTTTATTTTATAAATAATTTTACCTCATTTTTCATTATTAATCTAATAATTTTACATATACAATTTTCTTTCAATGCATCGGTGCTAGAGCTTAAGAATGCCAGTCAATTAAGCCATTATGTTATAATAAAACAAATTACACAGAAAACAAAAATAATTCATGTTGCATTTGATTGTGAAACGTCGTATCTAAATCTAATCGTTAAAAAAGGCTAACATCGAATATCAAAAATCACAAAAGAAACAATAAAAATGCATTTTTTAACCTTTTAGCAGAAATTATAAAATTATGAAATAATTGTAAATTTGTAATTGTCATAAATAAAGTTCACCTTTTTCGATTATTTAATAAATTTTAATAAAATTTTAATTAAAAGTTGATGACAAATTTAATTAAAATAATTTTAAGTACGTGTTCTCTAAAAGGTTAATATAAAATTAATTTTTCATTATGTTATATAATTATTATATTGTATTAATAAAACATCTACTTTTCAATTTATTTAAATAATAATAATATAAGTATACAATTATAAATATATTTAAGCTGAAAAAAAAACAAAAACACGAAAACAAAATCCAATATTCTAGTCTTTCTTTTAAAAAAAAAAAAAAAAATAATAAATATTATAAAAATGTGTAATTAATTATTGTTTTTAATTTTATTTCGGCTCTTAATTTTTTTAAGAAAATATAAAAAATAATGTATTAAGAAAATAAATTTAAAAAAATTTAAAAAAATAATTACAAATAAGTTAAGTAGACAGCATACACAATCAGTATACGTTTTAAGTAATACTGTTATACATAATTAATTATTTCACGAATTTATTATAATCAATTATCATCTGTTATACTCTCTTTGTATTATTTTGAGGGCTAATAGAAGTATGTATAAAAAAGATCCCAAAATAAAAAACGGCGTTATTTTATTTTATTAAATGAAAATTAATTAAAAATGAATAAATTTTTAAAATGCCTGTCTAATTATTGGGACCATTTCTTATTATCATCTTAATAATTGAACTGGTTTTTTTGAAAGTGGTATAAGTCCAATTGTTAAAAAGGCTAAGTTAATGGTAATTTTAGTGACTTATAGACAACTTCTCTCCACTATTTACAATCAAAATTTCAACAGAGTTCTATGTAGACATAAAACTAATAAATTATGTTACAATGGCCAGAATATTTAAATTGATTCAAATGCAAGCCCATAAATATCTGAATATGTAAAGAAATGGACTTATACCACTTTCAAAAAAACCAGTTCAATTATCACATAATAATTTGTAATATAATAAAAATTCCCGAATAAATAATTAAACTATTTATGATTTTTATTTTTATTAACTAAATAGACTTTCTAATTTTAAGATTATAAATTTCAAAAGCTTTTTTTTTTTTTTCTATACATAATTATTTAATGATTAGCTTTTTACTGATGGTGTGTCTCGTGTACTTAATTAAAGAAATTAAAAAATAAAGAAATTATATACAAAAGAAAATGTAATTATGTATTTTTTTAATATAAGATTAACACGAATATTTTGTATAATTTACATAAATAAAATTTTTTAATAGAAAAGAAAAAAAAATTTTATTTTCATTATTTGTTATATTATTTATAAGTAAATTATTTTATAATATTAATGATGAATAAAATAAATTTAATGTCATATTTAAAAAAAAATTTAATATTATTGTATGTATATTTATTAAGTAAAAAGGAAAAATAAAAAATTATAAATAATAATATTGTCTGTCATTAGATATAAAATAAAAATATGAATAATATTATTATAAATAAAGAAAAATAAAAGCTATACAAAATTATTATATTATATAATTATAAAGACAGAATATAAATTAAAAGAAGAAAAAAAAATTACGAGAAATTTGTTTTATTACAATTTAAAAAATTGTTATATTTTCATTTTCTTTCCATTAATATTTTAAAAAATCTTCAAATCAAATAATTGGCTTTCTGCTAAATTTATTTCTTAAAATCGTTTTGTTGCAAAAAAAAAGTTTTGTTAACTAAAAATTTGTTGGAATTTCGAGATATTCATTATTCTTGTGATTTATCTATCAGCAATATATCGTAATAATTCTTTGATGGGCGGTAGTAGGAGTATAAGTCAATTTTTTGCAAAAACCTGATAAGTACACCAATGTAATCTAGAGCTCAAAATACATCTTCTATCAAAAATTCATAGCGCTACGACACTTACAAACCTTTGAAACAAATGCATTTAAATATATTGTTCAAAGCAAAAGTGAACAGTTTTATTAAGTTTTTTTGCTATTTTTGACTTATACTCCTACTACCGCCCATCAAAGAATTTATATCCCACTTTTAATTCCCTTTTAAATCAGAATTTTAATTTTTTATAATGGATATTTAATTTTTATAATAAGATTACTGTTTTTTTTTTTCAATTGGATTTTTACATTTTTTCTCAAATTATCAACTGAACCTATCATCTTTCAAAAAAAAAAGTGAATTAATAATGATTTAATTTTGTATACAGGTGATTTTTGTTTATTGAGTTCTAGAATAGTTCTAACTTGTAGTATGTTCGAAAATTCATGCTACATACACTGAAAATATAGATCGTTCGAAAATTACTGGCTGTAATAAAGTACATTCGGAAATTCAATCTGCAATAAAGAAATGTTAGAAATGTAGCGCAGACCTCTGTTATAAAAGTTTTGTCGCTATTTCATGACATTTTTTTTATATTTAAAAAATAGATATAGAAGGGTTATTAAAGTAAGTTTTCAAATCTTCTTAAAATTTCCTTATATTGCAGCGAATTGATAGGCGAAAAGTATTGGGATACAATTTCATAAACAATGTCATTTCTGTTATTTTCGAACGATAGATTATATAGAAGTTTCAGAATTTGTAGACTGCGTAAACAAAGAAAGCTTAGCTAAAGTTTTTGCATACTGTTTAATACTGTAATACTGTTTGTTATAGAACTTTCCGCGCAGCGTGCATAAACGAAAATCCCCACAATATTTAAAAAAAAAAAAAAAACGAAATACGCAATACTTAAAAATTCTTCATTATACAAATATAAAGTCATTCATCTAACTTAGTGAGTAAAATAGCAAGATACACGATCACGCCCCATATTTTATAGTTGTATCTTCATTTTGCCCATTACAAATTGTATAATAGATTTCTTTATAATCAAAATTTTATTACCGGTTTTTTTAATATTAGTTGCAGATTATTAAAAAATTTAATTGGAAAAGCTAATTTTGATATGATCAGTATAGTGTGATGCAATCTCTTCAAAATTTTCGAATTTTCTCTTTAAACCTCAACGTTAGAAAAATACTGGAATATTTATTATGTTAAAGTATTATTAGAAAAGGCTTCGCAGCAATTTTTACAAAAGCAATTACGTAATTAGAAACAGTACTAGCTTTCATGCTCAGGAATAATTATTTGATTTGTTGAAGGAGACTTAAATAACGTATCAGGAATAATTGAATAATGTCTGTACTTTCTTGCGCCTAATTGTTCTTTCAAATGCAATGTTTTGATTTAGTATTACAATATTGAGTTTACCTTTTCTAACAAGATCGTTTTCTAAAAAATTTGGTTTTTTAATATCGTTTATGTATTTAATTTATTTAATTTTTTTACAATAATCTTTTATTTTTAATTCAATATGATTATGGGATAAATTTACATAAGTAACCACAAGTAATCCACAAGCACAAAAAATAACTAGAATAAATCTTATATTAATATCGTTTTTAAAAATGAAATATTTTTTGTGGCTAGAGATTCTTATAAAAAATAATAATCAATGTGTACATCATAGATTCAAAATTAAAATACTGAACTATATTAAATAGGTATTTTGATAGTTTGATAAGTTTTTACTTATTACATTTTAATATTTGGAAAATATAAATTTTTACATACATCAAGAAATTATTTTGGTTTTTTAAAACAAATTAACAATAATTAATTTTAATTTATTTAGTGAATTCTTTCAATTTGCAGTAATTCTGCTGTTCGCATGAAATTGTTGCGCTGAAATCAATAGAGTTACAACATAGATGCAAGCTGCTATCCAACAATTAATGGCATTCTAAAATTAAAAATTTTTATTAAATATTGAATAATCTTATGTTGTTTCAAAATTTTTTTAGACTATTTCTGAAATTTTTTAATTAAATACCTAATATTAATTTGCATATTTATAAAAAAAAATTAAAAGTTTAAATTTTTATATTATTCTTTAAAAGTAGGTGTTACGCATCTACAAAACAAAAATGTGACCATGTCTTTAAACTTAAAGTTCAGGGTCCTGCGATTTATTTTAAATTGGAATTTTATAAATATACATTAATTTTCCTTTTCACATTACTTATTTAAAAGAAAAAATTTTATTTTTGCAATTTGACTTTTGTCTTATTTAATGATTAAACTCTATTTTGGTATAGAGAATTTTTTCAATGTGACAAATTATAAAGTAGGTACCTGGTTGTAAGCGCTATTAACATCAGAATAAAATAATTTGGGATCATGATATTCTTCTTCAATTGGAAGATCTTCAATTAATGCTACGCTATGCATCCAGTAGAATACTCCCATGAGAACCTAAAATGAAATATTTTGTTAAAGCGTCAGAAAAAATGTATTCATTAATATTTACCAATTGAACAATTCCCCAAATCGATATGATTAATCCGCATAGTGATAATTTTGGCCCGCAGATTTTCATTTTGAACTAATTACAAAAAACAATATTGTTACAATAATTAAGACAAAATCTTTTTCCCAAAACCAAAAAAGAAATTTAGATTTAGTCACAAGATGAGATATTTGTCCCTATTTTTTTTTTCCTGTTGTCATATGACTTTGACGTACAAAATGACATTAAAATGAAACTGTTTCCAAATAGAGATCGCACATATGTTTGAAATTTGTGTACTTTTTCGATTTTTTATATTATTTTTTGACATATGAACTTAACATAATTGAATAAGAAAAATACGAAAAATACTTTGTAAATAAATTTTTAAATTATTTTCGTTTTGAAAATACTAATTATGAACAACCTTTTGTCTGTTCAATTATTACTTCAAACTAAATTTAATTACATATTTTTGTAAATAAAATTTTGTTTAAAGAAATTTGTTTTTCAATTCAAAAGTTTTATGTTGTCGATTTAAATTCTTTTTAAAATTATTTATGAGAAGACTACTTATCTGGATGACTTTCAAAGCTTTGTTTTTTAGAATTTAAAAAAAATTACACATATGTATAAAATTTTTATGCATATTATGTGAGATTATGCAATCAACCAATTTTTGTGTTAGATAATAAACAAACCAAAATATGTTCATTTAAAAAATGAAAACCAAAATATGTTCATTTATTTCCTAACTGGCATCATCAAAATCTGTTAATTTTTAATAACTTGGAACAGTTTTTCAGACCTCAGTGGTAAAATATAAATAAAACTGAATCGATTTCATCATGTCAACGAAAATTACAATACGTTACAAAATTATCCATTATTTTTTAATTACAATCAATTTGTGTCGCTTCAGTCGCTTTCAATGTCTAGCCTATCGATATTTTTGGCTTGTTATCGATGTATCGAACTATAAAATGCGTATCATATAATATATCAATCGGTATATAACAGTACTTAATCTATCATATTTTATGTAAATTATATATTTGCGTAAAAAAATCGCGTAAGAATAAATATTTTTTAGGTTGATATTGTTTTATTTCTAAAAAAAAAAGGTTTTGAAAAAAGCCACTTAAGATTAAGTATTTTTATTGTTCCGTGTTATCGTTAACTTAGTTAGTTTTTCAACGTGTTATTTTCCGTTCCAGAATTTTTTAAACTCAATGTAGTTTATGAACAATTCATCCTTTAAGATTTTAACTTAAGAGTATTATGGTCACTAATATTTGATTATTTTTAAAATAAAATGCACTCATTAAATATTAACTATATATTTTTTTATATGATATATGCTAAGTTTTTTTTTTATATAAAAAATCTAAATTAATTTATAAGCATGTCTTCTTTTTTTCATATTCGCACTTCATTTATCCATGATAAACAACACCATATCCATACCCAAGATTATGATATGGTTTCAATATTGGTCTATAAATTGAATGAATTGGTTGAATTCCTGATACTGGATAATATGGAATCGGATTATGATGCAAAAATGGTTCATAAATTGGTTTGGCATTATAAAAAGATTCTGCTCCTGCTAGATCATGATTTTTTCTATCATCATGGACTGCTACAGATTCTAAAATAATTCAGATATATTAAAATAAATTTTAAATAAATAAAATTTTAATAATTATGTGTAGATGTATTAAAAATTATCATCACAAACCAGCTACATCATTGGATAATGGTTGACTTTTGTTTAAATTAATGAATGTTATTAAAATAACCATTAATAAAATGTACTTAAACATATTTTTGGCAAGAAAAAATTATTGTTACAATTTTATCTACTTGCAATATAAAATATTTTTTAATTTTGAAATTTTTATCTTATTTTGTATGTATTCAGTTTGAAATTCAAAAAATTATTCACAGTTTATGATTGGTTCACTTCTTATTATATATAACAGAGCTAAAAAGAAGAGAGTATATTCTTTGTGCTCTCATGTATGCTAATAAAGTAATATTGGAAAAATTGAAATTTTAATTTCTTCATCTAATTGTTTTAGTTTACTGACTCTGATCTCTTTGGAAAAGAAATCTTATGTGTAAAAATTTTAATTCAATTATATTCTCTTCTCAATTTTAATTTATTAATGTATTAAATATAAGTGTTTAATAAATACAATATTTTTGTAAATAAAATTTTATTTTAATTACTTTTCTCAAACTTTATTGTAATATTTTACAATATATATAAGTGAGTTGTTTATTCTCTATTCCTATGGTGTATTAGAAATCTAAAGAGATATTTACCATTATTATACACCAATTAATTTTAAGAATCTATTCTATGAAATTTTCAATATTACGAGTCCGGAAATTGAAGTTTTAAGGAGATACATATATGTATAACATTATGTAAATTTACTTTAACCTATTATAGTGAAATGTAAATAATATTTTAAATTTTTAACATAACATGGGTTTTGTTTTAAAGAAATGTAATTCAGATACATACATTAGTACATTTGCATTCATGTACACTCGTAATTCCATTATAAGCGTCTCTAATCAAAAGAAAACAAAATAAGAAACAAAATACCCAAAAACTTTTAAGACTATACAAATATTTGTGTTTAGTAGGTTTTTTTCAAAAGTAAATAATTTAAAAATGAAAATTGTCTTTAAACCTATATTATAAATTATAAATTTACAAAGTTTATCTTTCATTTAAATAGTTTTGATTTGTATTGAAATTAGATAAATACTATCATTTTTTACGATATTATTTGCTTTAGTGTTACATAATTTAAATTTACTGTCTGCAAGAAAATTTGAAGTACGTACTATATTATGTAAGTATTATGGACTCTATATTATTGTGTACATTGAAGATATTCAATTAATGGAATTTTCGTGAGTTTATCTAAATTTATTCATAGAAAAATCAAAGTTCATATGCGAAAATAATTTAAAAGTCTATTCCACTTACCAAAAAAAAATTATGTAATTTTCGAAAATCTATGTAAAAATTCAAAAATTAATAGTTATCCATTTAGTTAAAAGAATTATCTTTACAGATAACTCGAAAAGAGCTATTTATCTACTGAAAGGATTTGGCACTTGATTAATCGAGTAAGGTTCAAACAATATTTGAAGCATTCGGGCCTTGAAACCGTAATTATTATATTCTAGAACTTTTATTTAACTTTTATTGAGCTACATATATTGCTGGGGTATCAGTAAGTAATGCTGAAAATACTGGGCGCTTATTCTTCGTGTCGAATCACTAAATGATCTAAATTCTAAATGATAGTGATATTTACATTCTAAATGATAGTTTATGTTTACAATAATAATATCGATTTTTTTACGATAATTATTACTATCACTTGGTGATTCGAAACTTAGAATAAGCTCCTATGTTCACTATTTGATGTTTCTTACCTACATGAAAGGGTTACCTACATTTATAAAAGAATAATATTCAAACGAAAGTTTTTCTATAACATTAACAAACAATAAGTTTATGGATATTTAGAATAGAATAAATTATATTTTAGATAAAGTTTCAGTGGGTTGAATCGAAATTCGAAACTTGTGGACATACAACAAAATATTTTTGAATTCGTACTATGTTGAAAATGTCATAAACATTTGCAATAGAAAGTTCTTATGAGAATTTGACAGCATTTGCCATATAAACAACAAATTTTATATGGATAATATTTCCCCTCATGTAAACAATAAATATTTCTAATGTCAAAATTTGAGAGCGCATTTTGCAGTATTTCAAAATTTTTGTGATAAAATCAACATTTACTTAATGGCTTTCAATTTTGGAAATACAACAGGCGGATTAGGAGCATCTTCAACACCAGCAAAACGTAAATTAAATATTTTATAAACTGTAATATATTACTTAAATTTTTTTTTTTCAGCTGCATTTGGTAATTTTAGTTTTGGTCAAGCCACTACTTCTGCTCCAGCTTTTGGTACTCAAAATACTGCTCCAACATTTGGAACTCCAAACTTTGGGACTGGAACCCAAAATACAAGTGCACCAGCTTTCGGATCTACAAGTTTTGGAGCACAACCTAATCCAGCACCAGCATTTGGAACAAATACTGCGGTAGCAAGTACATTCACACCGGCACCAGCATTTGGTGCTGGGTCAGTGTTTGGTGCAACAACTAGTGCTCCAAGTTTGGGTGGTTTTGGTGGATTCGGTACTAACACTGCAACTACTTCTGCCCCAAGTTTATTCGGAGGCCTTGGTTCAACACCTGCAAATACAGGCTTTGCAGGTTTTGGCGCAACCACTACGACCACTTCTGCACCGACATTTACTGGTTTTGGTGCCAGTAATACTGGCTTTGGAAGTTTTGGCTCAACATTTGGTTCAAGTAAAAATCTTTCTAATTTTAGTTTCATTTTTAATTATTTGTCTCTATACATAGCTTTTGGGAAACCAGCAACTAGTACTGCACCCGCATTTGGTGGCTTTGGAACTACATTTGGCGCACAACAAAATCAACAGCAACCATGGCAAATTCCACAGCAGCAGCAAGCTCAAAGTTTGAACCCAGATGAAGCATTCGCACAATCTATTCTTAATGTTACTATTTACGGAGATGAGCGCGATACAATTCTAGCCAAATGGAACTACCTTCAAGCTATGTGGGGAACTGGAAAAGCATTTTATTCTAACAATGCACCGCATTTTGTAGAAATTACTCCTCAAAACTATTTATGTCGCTTTAAGACTATTGGGTACAGTAGAAAACCTGGGAAGGACAATAAGTTGGGTCTTGTTGCATTAGTTATCAATAAACCAGAATCCGAGATTAAGTAATACCCAAAATAATTACTTTTCTTAATATTACAAACTTTCTTTTTTTAGAAACCAACAACAGCAGCTTATTACGAGTTTAAATCAAATTCTTGGTAATAAACCAAATTTAACTGTTAAATTTGATTCAATTAAGCAACTTGAAGAGAAAACCCAAATTATGATTTATGTTGAAGAGAAAACTCAACAAATACCTAATCAAACTAAGAGAATTTTAGCCTCCGAACTTAGTAACTTTTTAAATCAACCCAATATTAAACAGCAGCTAACAAATTTAGGTGTAGAGTCAGCTCTAGCACATATTACACCTGATGACGATCAAATCAAAGAATATATTGAGGTTCCACCAAAAGGAATTGATCCCAGGATGTGGCGACAAGCAAATATAGACAATCCTGATAGTAAAAAATTTATTCAAGTTCCAATGGTAGGGTTTAACGACCTTAAGTGGCGTTTGAAATGTCAAGAGAATGAAACAGATTTACACATACAATGCTTAGCAAAATTAGAAAAAGATTTGGCTGAAGTAAAACAAAGACATGCATCTTCAACAGCTAAAATTATGGAATATAGAAGAAAATTAGCAGAATTAAGTCATAAAATATTAAAAGTATAATTGCAATGTAAATATTAATTGTGTTGTTGAAATTATCGCTTTTTTTAGATTGTTGTTAAGCAAGAATGTTCAAGAAAAGTGGGTATGCCATTGTCGCCTGAAGAAGAAATTTTAAGGGGTAAATTAGAAAATATGCAATCGTTAGTCTCGGCACCAACTCAGTTTAAGGTAAATACGCTGTTTTCATAAAATTATTTATAAAATATTAAATATATTTGTAAACAGGGACGACTAAGTGAACTTTTGTCTCAAATGCGAATGCAAAGAAATCAATATACTATTGGTGCAAATAAGGAGTATACCTTAGACAGGGATTCAGAAGATGAAATGAAAGCTTTTCTTACTATGCAGCAAAATGCAATGAAATTGCTTATTGATACCGTCAACAAAGATCTTAAAGCATTAAATATTATAACTGAAGGAATGAACCAATTAACACATTGTTAAAATTTATGTATAACAAACAAAGGGTTGAAATAAAGATATATTTTTGATACAACTTGAAAGTTAAAGCAGTTTTAGAATTATAAAATTCCAGATGTCATTAAATTCAGTGTTCAAAGATACGATTATTTATTCAATTTCCATAAAGCCGTCAGCGTTTGTTAAATGAACTTTTTCATGATCAGATTCTTCTTCAACAACGAAATTTGGACCTATTAAACAGCTTTTTAAAGTTGTCCCTTTCTTAACTCGGGCATGACTGCATACGATTGAATTCAGTATTTTGCATCTAAAATTTAGTTACGTTAATAAAATAAAATTTGAATAAAATTGAATTTGATTACCCTTCCTCGATTATGGCATGAGACATTATTATTGTGTTTGTAATTATAGTTTTTGGATTAACTACACAGGATGGACCAAATATGCTATTAGTCAAAGATGTTTTTTCTGATAATTTGGCATAATCAGCAATAGCAATATCTTTGATTTGAGTTGATTTAACTTCCGCATTATTTGAAATTAATTTATATAAGTCTTTATCATTAAAGATTTTTTCCCATAATGATGCAAGTTTTTGATTTATTGCAAAATAATTAAGTGTGGTATTTATTCTAATTCCCATTGAAGTTTTTGGAGCAATCAAAGCATAACATCGAATTAAATCTCCATCATATGGTTCATTTAATTTGGAGTCATTAAATAGAGAAACGTCCCGTACTTTTTCATCAAGAATGTTGGTAGGTATGAACTAAATTGAGAAATAAATTGTTATAAAGTATGTTTTTTGTTATACTCATAGATAAATTACATTAAATATATCGTTTTCTGGTTTGATGTTATGATTAACTTCCGATTGTGCATCTTTTGGAGCTTGCAAATTTTTACACATTTGCTTTTTTACAATATATGGAATCAATTCGCCTTTTATAGTAGATATATTTTCTTTCTGAAATATTATATATTGAATTAAGTTTCTTTGTAGATATAAGCAATTTTTCTACTTTTTGCAGGAAATCAATAATCCATTTCCTCATGATATATATGTGAGAATCAATTAATCTGCTATAAACTTCCATCTTTTCGTTTTTCCTCATCAAATGACCGTTTATATCCATTGTTTCTTCAAAATCACTGGTTGAAGCACAAAATAGTAATCTATTTGAATCAGGATTAATACATATTAAGTCTCTTTCAGCTTTATTTTTTGATTTTGGTCCTGGTACCGTTACATCTGAGTCTATTCCTCCAGAAAACAACAAACATGCTATAGCAGCATTATGCTGTCTAAATTTGTTTACAACTGGAAAAAGACTAGCATTTGTAATAATATCGCAAGATACAACAATAATATCAGTTTTGATCCTAAAATTTGTTTGAAAATAATTGTTGAATCAAAATAATTTGTTATTTTTTACTTATCGCTGATCGAACGCAAACTATCTGCTGTACCAAAATCCGTATCTCCAGGTATTGTAGCAAAATCTATTTTCAATTTTAATGGAGTTCTTTCTAAAGCTTCTTGTATTTCATTTTTTTGAGTTTCTAAAACAATTACTATGGCATCTGAAAAAGTTTAAAATGATTTGCTAGCCTTATTCGTGTTTATTGTAATTGCATACCTTGAAATCCATGCTGTTGAAGAGTATGAAGTGGATAAAATAATAAAGGAAATGGACCTATGTGTAGTAAACACTTTATGCTTTCTCCGCTAGATAATTCTGGTAATCGTGTACCACGTCCACCGGCCAAGACCACTGCTTGGAATTCTTGTACAAACATTTTTAATTGCTAAATATTTTATATGTATTCAATTTTTGTTTATAAAATCTTCAAAATTGACATGTAGACAAAAATGTGGCAGCGGCTGTCAAAATGCAATTGTCACTTTTAGTACAATATGACGTTCAATATAAAGCAAATAATTCCTTCAAATGGCGGCTGACTATAAAATAATATTTTCGTAAGCCGTGTTTTTAATACAAGTTAAGCGAAGCTTACTTTGCTTAGTTGCGAATTATTTATTAAAAAATTACATGTTATTTTAAAGGTAAAAATTACATTGTATTTTTACAGAAATTTAAATTTTATGCCAAATAATTTTAATTGTGTAAACTGAAAATTCATAAGCTGTAGACCACAGTTTTCAAACGGTGAACGAAAAAAACTTTAAAAATGAAGTTGTATAACTATAACATTTATTGCATAGTTTTCGGAGAACTATTAAGAAAATGGAATAGGAACAAAGTTGTACTAACACAACAATTATATTAGATGTATAGTATAGTTTAACTAGCTACAAAATGCAGGCATATGTAATTAACTACTGGTATGCTACTGAATGCTACTCGTTAACTAATAGGTCTATTAGGTATTAGTCAATTTTTTATTAGTATTAGTTTGGTATTAGTTAATAACGGCTTAGTATAGCAGTTACATTCATAATAATTTCAAAAACAAGAGATAATTTTATAGTTTCGACACTATAAAGACGAGCTTTCAAAGATTGATATTCCGAATATCTTATTAATATCTTCTGTTTCGTTAGAGATCTAACAACGAAACATTTCAGGTGACTTATTCCCAGCAAAATTTTTTGGCAACTTTCGTTTTCAATAAACTAAGACAATATTTTATTATAAAATTTTTATAATACGTTCTTAACAGTTTATTTTACAAAATTTTAAAAATTTTGGTAATAAAATTAAAGTATAAAATTTATGAAATTCGAATATTTAGGTATATATAGAAATATAATTATATAATTAAATATATTTATGTATGAATGCTATACACAATTTTTTTAACAATTTAAAATTTTCTTAATCATATAATTCAAATTAATTTCAATTTAACGTTGTTGTATATTTGAAAATTTACAAAAAGTTAACATATATTACAATAAACAAAAAAAAAAAATATCAAAGAAGAATCTTAAATTTACTTCCTACACAATATATAGGTATGAGAAAATTCAATATAACAAATAAATTCAAGTCTTGTTTTAATTTTCTTTTAATATAATTAATAATAATTATAAAATAATAAAAAAAAAATTTTACAGATTCACATTTTTTAGATGGCGCATATTATATTTTTTATTTTCAATGTTGAATACTTGTTTTTTTTTTTTATAAAATAAACGCCGCTAATCTTTCGTACCAAAAATCTCTTTTTGAATTATTCGAATTTATTTTTCATAACCATAATCTTCATCAATTGATGTATATCTTGGTGTTGATGATGAACTTGCTAAATAAAATGTTGGTCTTCTCTGTTGTAATGAGATATTTATTTCTTCGGGTGATCTAAATGATTGTTGAATTTGTTGAACTTGTTGTTGATGTTGATTATGTTGACTAGCAAATCTATATGGAAGTGTTGAAGCTGTAGTTGTAGGACTTTTACGTTGTTGTGTATTGACTATTACTTGAACCTAAAAATACATGCAAAATTATGAAGGAAAAAGTTTAATATTAATAATAAGGTAATTTTGACTTTTAAAACGCAGCAATATGGTATTTAAAGAGAAATCAGTTCGCGAATATTGTTATTACTGAAATTTATTGTAAATACTGTATTGCTGCAAAATGGAAGTCAACGTAATCTTTGTTTCATATATACCAATTTTGCTTAACAATATTGCAGGCATTAAAAGTTTAAAGGTGATATAAATTATAACGACTATTTATGTATAACACTTACTGGTTCTCTACTATTATGTGATATTCTATCATCAGCTTCATACCTTCTTTCATCATAATAATTTTCTGGATAATAACGTTCTGAATATCTTAATGTTACATTTGGTTTACTTTGATGTTCTTGTAAATTTAATGGTTTATATAAATATTCATTAACAACATGATATTTTGATGATTGTTCGCATATATTTTCACCAGATGGTGGCATACAAATTAAATGAATTTGATGGAATGTAAATCCTTCGGGGCATACCCATGAATGTTTTTGATTTTCTTGACAGTAATGGAAAACTTCACAATTTATTGAATCATCAGCATAATAACTGTATATATTAAAAATAATAATAATAATATAAAATAATTGCGCCAAATATTTTAAGAAATTTTAAATTTTTGGAAGCATATTGACTATTAATTTTCAATTTTATTTAATTAATTTTTAATTCTTTTAAAACATAAAAATATATAATTACCCGGTAGTTTTTCCATTACATGTAAATGATGATTTTTGTAATAAAATTGCTAATCTATCGGGTTCTTCTTCTTCAAGCTCTTCTTCAATTTGTTTTAAACGTTGTTGTTTTTGTGCTTCTTTTTTACTTGCATTACTATTATAATTCAATTGTTGTTGTTGTTGTTGTTTTCTTAATAAATTACTTTGATATTGTTGACGTGTTTGTGTTTCTGGTTGTTGCTGTTGTTGTTCATCTTCCGGATAATCATATAGCCTTGAACGATATCCGATTTGTGTTTGTGCTTGTGCATCATAATCTTCAACATCACTACTATTATCTTCATATTGTTCTGTTGATCTTGTTTTAAATGATACTGGATTTTGTACAATTTGATGTTGTTGTTGTTGTTGTGGTAATGTTGCACTCATACCAAATACAATAAAATATATTGAAAATAATATTAAAGAAATTTCCAACCTATAAAAATAGAGAGAGAAAGAAAAAAAATTAATTTAAAATTTTTGCGATAAAATGAAATGAAATAAATTGATAATAATATAAAATGAAAATTTTATTTAAATTTTTTTTTTCTATATGAATAAAGCTCATTAAACTGTAAATTTTTTTTTTGCATAAATATATACCTATATAGATATACACATTAAACACAGGTATAATATGTAAATGAATATTTCCGTAAGAAAAGTATATTATGAAAATTTGCGCGGAAGTTCATTTACTTAAAACTATTTATACATTCATAATTACATACATTATGTATACATTATGTATAATATAAAGTATAATCATTTTCTAAAAACAATTGAAAGTTTATAATGGTACATTAATATCATTGAATCTTATATTTTTTTGTTTCTTTTGCATAGTATACTCAATATATTATTTTGAAGTGTTTACCCTATTATACTTAATAATAATGATAATAATTTTGAAATTTTTAAACAGGTACATCATAAAATACACTTAAAACTTAAGTTGAAGTTGAAAATCTCTAAAGAAAAGACAATTTTTTAAATATTTTTGTAAGAGCACTTGTTACATATTATTTGAAAAATTGTTTAAATTTCTTTTATTTTCTTGTTATTATGAAATTAATTAAAGTGCGATAATTACCTATTTTTATTGTTATTATTTTGATTTACAAGTATAGTAATTCATTTACTTATTTAGTATTACAGTTATAATATACATATATACCTATATCAATACATATAATAATAATGAACTTCGTATATGAGAATATTATAATTTTATATGGTAAAATATTATAAAATTCATTATAATTTTCAACTAAGTTTAATGCTTATAGGTAAATTCAAATATGCACAAAAGTTTAATAAATTAATTTAAAATACCAAAACAAGTAGCAATCTGTAATACTTTTTCGCAATTTTCTATATACTACTTGTTAGAAAATTACTTAAATATTTCAAATTTTATAATAATTCATTTGGGCTTCTTAGATTTTTAGATTTATTATGATAATTTATTTTAATTAAATTTAAATTATATTTCTATTAAAATATTTTAATTAACTTTATTTCTTAATGATTTAAATTTCAACACAAATTTGTTATATTATATTTGCCAATTAAATTATTGAATACATTATCAGTTCTATAATAATATAGAGTAATATTTAGAAATAATACTATATTTTATTGGAAAAATCAGTATGAATAATCGTTATATTGAATTTATGTATTTGCAATAACTACATACCGTTATACTGATATACCGTTATATTGAATCAGCTAAATTTCAATAATACATAGTATGTTTACATAAAATAGTTCAAAATTTAAAAATTTTTTTTTTGTTTTAGTAAAATACAAGCTACTAAATATGTAGCACATATTGAATAAATTGTATGATTTTGCTGTTATAAAGAACTTCAAATGAAGTTTTATATTTTCTAATTATTCATGTAACCAATTTGCAATAAAAATTGTTTCCTTTCAAAGCTATTTTTTGAGCAAATTAAATGTATTAACCATTTTGAGGTCTAAAAATTTTCGCCATATTATGTAAGTTACATTTATGTATAGTATACCTAAGTAATGTGTATAAAAAATAAAATTAATTTTTATCAAACAAAATATTACAATTTGTATTTAATTATAAAATGTTCCAAAATAGTTTAAAACCATATAGATTTGAGAATGGACGATATAAAGTTTTGTTTTCATTTCTTGATCAGGAAGATGTATATATGCATAGGTATATGGATGTAAAAAATTTCCAAACTGAATATTCTCTTTCTTTTATATAACCTAAAAGTAATAGCTTTTAATATACGATATATTACTTTATATATTTTACAGAATTAATATGTTTCACTTAATAATTTTTTAAAAAACTTGGAATATATTGAGGTATTGTGCAAATTATAAAGTGATTTGAAAATATATTATTTCAGGCAGAGCTCAAATATTAAAAATTTTACATACCAGTTATGATGAGACATAATTTTCAACTGATCATTTTCATCGTCAAATTCCTTATTTTTCTCTTAGATTTCCACATGATATCTCAATTGAATTTTAAATTAAATCAAGCAAAATTCATAAATAATATTTGATAATATTCAATTCCAACATCATTAGAACAATATTATTATTTGATTGTTGAAATAGATACTAGTGGTGTCTAGTATTTGGAAAATTATGGTATAATAATTTAAAAAATTATAATTTAAAAATTTTTAAATTGAACTTGGAGTATGTCCATAATATCGTAAATATTTTTTCTTGTAGATGACGTTTCTTATTTCAATTCACAATGACGGAGTTGTATCACATGAAAAAGAGAGCTCCCATTCATTTGTTCACAATATTTACATTTAATACCCGATTTATTTCTTCATTTTTAAATTTATTTTAAAAGTTTTAAATTTAAAAAACAACTGATTTTCGAGATTGATAGAAAATTGCTGCCAATTTTTTAAGTTTTAAAAAATTTGCACAGTGGTAATAAAATTGAAAAAAAAAAATAAATTTTATACTTCCGATGTAAAAGTAAAATAATTGAGAAAATTAATTTTTTCGGCTTTTGTTTTATAACAAAACTTTACACAATATCTTAATTAAAACAAAGTATGTACGTACGTAGGATTAAGCTGATTTGTTACAACACTAAAAATTGCGTATACCAGTGTATGAATTTATGTTACATGTATACGAATTTATTGAAAAACATTTTAGAGTAATTTTATTTTAAAAAAATTGCCATGTCATTTCAGTTATTTCATTAACTTAATTTTTATATTATCAAAACATTTAAAAAGTAAAATTATTTACCACTCAATTTCAGATATCACTCATAATAGTATATTATGGTTAGTATGTGATATGAATCTTAGTTGAAAGTAAAAGTTTTAGTATTTATAGTAAATGATTTTAAAATTTTCAAATAAAATCAAGAAAAAAAAACATAAATTCAATTTTGTATAATCAAAACATTCACGTCTTTATAATATGAAAGTTTCATATGCTACTTGTCGGTATATTAGTGTATTAAAATATTTTAGTATTATTGTGTTAACAAGTTTATGAATTGTTGAAATTTTTTAATGTTCTTATAGTTGTTGACTGCGACGATATTATTTTAAGGAACGCTATGTGAACGCCTCACAAAATCACATTTATTCCACAATTGTTATTATGCACATTTTCAACTATTGATGGTATTACACGTAGCTTTGCGTGAATGAAATTTGAACTAATTAAGTGATTATAATTTCAAAGTTGTCAAAAGAGAAAAATTCAGAATTTAATTTTATTTTCTCATAATTTAAGTAGTAATCAGTATAAATTTATTTGATGAATAACTCAAATTAAAAAATTTTCAATATCATATAATTATATTTAACAGTTCAATAGATTAAGGTTAGTTATACAGAGGTAAGTAGTTGAATTATAATTATTGTGCCAACAAATGAACATTTTAAATTAATTTTAAATTTCTTTCAAATTACTTTTTATTAAAAATATTTATTTTTAACGTGCTAAATGAACATTATTTTAGACTCAATTTAAGTCTACATACTTAAATTTATTTTTATTATGTTTCCAGTCCAATAATTTAGAAATTTGCATGACTTATAATTTCTTTAAAATAATTTTCTTTATTGAGATTTTTATGCGAAACTTAATAATTATGATATGAAAAATATTTAACTAGAGTTTAATAGTTTGAAACATAATAAAAATAACAAATTTTTTTTTTACCAATTCCAATGGGTTACATACATATAATAGTTAACAGTTCATTTTCAGTGAATTTATGTAATTAAATAGAAAGAGTAATTATTTAGATAAAAGTGATTTTAACGAATCATTAATATGATTTATAAATTTAATTTTTAAATTAAAATTAATAAAATTCAAAATAAATTTATGCTGTAATTCAGATAACTACAATTTAGTTCAGAATAGTTAATCTTATTTTTGTACATCTATTCTTATAACATTCTAAACGTGATATAGATTCCTGTAGTCTGTACATAAGAATAAGAGCAGTAACGCACTTTTTATTCCGGTAGATGTTTTTATATTTTTTTAGCGGAAATGTTCGTCAAATAAACAACTTTGTGAGTCAGTTTTTGCTTCTATATTACAGAATTTCAACACAAAATAGTGTTGTAACACCACCTTGTCGAACAAACAATAGTTGATTATATGTATTTTTCATATTTATTCCAATAGATGGTTTCGTATGAACATTTTATTATGAATTTCAATAAACTGTGTTTACATGAAGATTTTTGCATCAATGGTTGACATATGTTTTATTCAGATCCTGTTGGCAAGGTCAAGGACAATGAAACGTATATCAAAAATTGATGCAAAAGTTGTCGTGTAAGGAGAATTATTCTACAACGTTTTGATTTAAGCTTATGTAGTCCAGGAATGTGTCTAGACTCTAGAGTGTTACTTATGGACACTTATATAGAATAAAAATGTTATAAATGAAAAAATGAATTGTCATTGTTTTAAAATATAATTCTGGTGTTAAAACCTACTGTTAAAATTTCAGAAACTGTTATTGCATGAATACATTTAAAATATTAAACAATATAGTGTAAAATAAATTATAATTTAACTATAATAATTAATCAATTAACTTTTTTTAATTAATTATAATATGAGAATATACGATGTTTTAACCACACTTTATATAAAATATTACTTTTATGGAAATTTATGAGGTAATAGAAATTCAAAGACCGTGAAAATTTATTAAATTTTCCTTTTATATTACAGTTTTTCAGTTTTTTGCTAATGTTTTATAATTCAAAAAATTAAAAACAAGTTCATTGTTTCATGCAATATTATTAACATAAATATAAATAAATGACGTGTATAGCATAACTCTTTATGTAGTAATATGTATATGTAAATTTAGATATGCTCATATTATGCATTTGCTTTGGTAGTCGTAA